CAGAAGATTTTTTTTAATCTCTTACTTACGAATAGTCATACTTAGGGTAGGGGCCATGAAAAAATTTTAATTGAAAAAGGGCGCCGCGAATAGGAAAAGTTTGGCAACCACTGCCTTAAACGAAATAGAGTGAATAGCTCTCATTACTGGTAGTCTCGAAATTCTGCTTATGTACGAAAAATTAAGGAATTAGGTTAAATACATTTCATATATTGGCCCTTGTCCACTTTATGCCGTCTAGGTTAAGTGGAAATCTTGTAGCGAGGTTAGAATAAAGGCAAAACAGTTTTTGGCTTGACAATAAAACGAATAATATAGCTATGCTTAAAGTGGAAAGTAGGGAAATTAGGACATAATAATGGCAGGAAAAGTAAAATAAAATGGAGGCAAGAGGAAGAAATAAATGGAGGAGAGGCAAAGCGTAAAGTATTGAGAGAATAGGGAGAATCGGGAGAATGCATAATAGCGAAATTTCACTTTATTCGATGGGGCGGATGGGAGAGATTCGTAAATTGGCTTCACCAAAAGCCGGTGGATGATTGCAGTGCAGTTGCAGATGCTGGATTGCGTAAAGAAGTCCTCTGCTCACCGCGCTGCCACCTCGACCCGTCTGTGCCGAACTTTTGTTCTGTGACACACATCGTCAGAGCCCGAAATTATCGGTTAGAAAGAAAGCCACCAAAACGCTTAATCTTTGCTGATTATGCTTCATTCGGGTGGCAGAACGGTTAGCCGAGGCCTTCTTCGCACACTCCAGCTTTTTTCCAAATCTAAAAATGTCAATGAGTTTTCTTTCTCTTACAATCACACTTGACTTTTCTCTGAACTTGCATGGATTTCAGACCAACATAGCGAAAGTTAAATGGGCGGTCTTTCGGAACTATCAACCTCAAAATCGAATCTGTTATGTGAATAAATAGCCTCAAGCGATAATATATCTTAACTCTCATCTTGCGGCCTACTACTTGCAGTAGATTAGTAGTATATTCTAGTTAAGCTACAGAATCACCTGACTGGGTGTGTGAGAGGCTTAGGCGAAATTCAGCCGAGTTAGGAAAGCCGTTTTGAGGATATACGAATAGAGCGCGAGTTTCAAATAATCTCCCGAAATTATATTGTCGTAAAGACTTTCAGTTCAAAGGTCGATCTCGCAGGTTGGTTAGAGTTGTACTGCAGCTTTTTGGCTTCAATATAGCGTCCACGAGACGTCCCCATCGTTTCGGGCGAAGCTGGGCTGAATGTTCGTTCGCCATACCATGAATATCATCAAAGCTGGGACTCATTCTTTCAAAAGCATCAAGTTAACACTAAATCAAGAAAACCTAATGGCTCTTTGCTACTTGATATGTACACTTATTGCTGGAAAAACTTTAGATACAGTTGGGCATATAAAGTTTTGGTTAATTCACTTATACTCGAGTGTGTCTTTGTGTGCATGCATGTCAGCGTCTGTAGCCAAAACCGACCATAACTAATTCATCATTCACGTTTACACGAAATGAAAGTCGTCACAACAACTGTTCTGAGGCAAATAGCTTTCTTTGACCCTATCACATAGTAGTTATATCCTTTTTCGTTCATATGAACGGTAACAGTGTTAAACTGCTCCCAATCATTACTGGATTATACAAATTTGGCACATAATTTGAGACAAATTGTTGAATTGGATGATGGGCATAAAAGAATGAATTCCGTGTCCACATGGCACCGTTTTCATTGTACCGGTACAGTTACCGTGTTATCGAGAAGCGCACAAAAAAGTGTCCCGGCCATCATACACTGACCAGTTAAAGCAACTCACCCTTGCCAGCCACGCGGGTAGGTTGCTGCGCTTATCCGAACGGAAGTGAAGGTTGATGACGATCAACGAGAAGAAGGTGGACAAACTGATCAGCGTCATGTTGAGGCAGTAAAAGTAGCCTGTATCAAGAGTGAAAGGACAAACGCATGGCAATTATGAGCAGTGCGCATAAATGGTTGGTGAGAAAACCCATAAAATCTGTAATAACGTCGAGTCCTAGCACGATTCACATTCATTTGGTCGTCCTCACGCACCCTCGACAAGGACGCTCTTCAAGTGCTCACCTCAACAATGCCAGGAGCCAAAAGATCCTTGAATTGTGTACAATCTTTGAAGTGCAGTCAGGAGCCAGCAAGACCTTCTGGAGACTGGAAAGTGTGAACAAGTGCCACAAGTTGAGCCTGAGATGAGTCCTCCGGTCGGAACACAGCCTGCTCCCACCCATCCTCTTCAAGTGGCTGCCTCAAATCGTCCGGTCGCCAAGGCGTTAGAGATTCTCACATAGCCTTAAGTGATAGCCTGTACATGTGGCTTCGGCGAGCAATGATTGCCCACAAACTATTCCACCGAATCCCAAGTGGACTCCTGTGTTTCAAGACGTCACTGCAAAAGCGGACAATCAGCTTTTTTTCGCAGTTCTCGAGGGCGCCAACTGGTTGTCGCTGCCTAGGCAACCAGCTAAACGCAGTAATCCAGATTCAATGTCGTATGCGTCTGGTCGGCGCGGTCAACAGGATTCGGAAGCGGGCAAATTGATGCCACTTCAGCCCGCAGCCACTGGTGCGAGAGGGCCGTTTGGCAGATTTGACTTTCCTCGCAAGTCAAATGGAAATGGGGTCACTAAGGGAAAGTTGCATCTTCAACTTCAATGGACGACGTTACTAGTACCATGATGAATAGGCCCCACAACTACCTCAATTAAAAACTGGAGGTTGGGAGCAGTACATCTTGTCTTGAAAGACATATATGCTGTGTGCGTATGTTTTAGAAACTATCTGGAATAATTTTGAGGGGTTTTTCGAGATTACCATCAATCAGATGAGTAGCCAAAGTTGCCAAAGTCTCATCTGCACCTTCAGCGGAAGTCGAAGCATGGCAGTGTCCTTAGGTCACAGGGCAGATGTGCTCTTCAAGAAAAGCAAGGAATTTTCCCATATCACTTCCTGTTTTGGGCATTGTGGATGAAACACATTTGTATTTGCTATAGCAATCGATTTAATTACTTATTTTCTACTCATATTATTGTGAAGTATCTGAATACCAGTATATACGAAGAAAAGTTGGGTTTCAAATAAAATTTTGTTTCAGAATTGTTGAGCTTCCACCACTTCCATTTCGAGTGAAAGTGTTGGGTGAAGAGATTCGAAGGTCGGTTCCACCAGAAAACGACGGCGGATTCCTCTTAACCAGCTGTCGAATGGCTTTACTGGAACAGTCATGCTAACGCTGTTTCCTAGGCAATCTCCTTCGATTCCAGGAAAAAGATGCTAAGATTTCGTCTATCATAGGTGCTGAACTTTTGTTCTGTGACAGGCATCGAGGCAACATCGTCACAACAAAATTCAAGCTAACGAGTTAAGAAAACTCACCGGTAAATCCCTAAAAAGTGGTATATCTACTCTACATCTGGCCTCCTTGATCAAATATAAAGTGATTTGGTTAGTTAAGGTCATATGTCAACCTCAAACCCTGTTAGCGTGTCTGTCCCTGTATGTGTATGTGCTTGTTTGTGTTCGCTTATACACGAACCCCGCAGTGATGGCTCAAAGTTAGGACATCCAAAGTAACGCCTCTTTTCAGCCATCAAGGTTTTAAGACCACTGTCTACCCCTTTCTACAAACATGTACTAACCATCACTCCGATTGCGCAAAGTCGGACGGACTTCATGTTATGTTTATGAGCTTTCTTGCGTCTTCATGTGAGAGAGAAAGTGGGCTGCAAGTAGAGAGAAGTGACTCTGATTTGAAGCACGACAAAAAAAGACTAGTTGAGCCGCTTCCATGTTTCAGGCAGACATGCCATAATCATAAAAAATGAGAAGCTTGAGACCATTCAATCTCTTGTCACGTTTCTGGCCTGTGCTCAGCCAGCTCCGATTTTTGAACGCGCTTTTGTGCTCAGTTACCAAGTCTCTCCAACATAAAAGCGACCACATAAGCACATTATTTTGTAGCAACCCGATCTGGATAATGGGTCAACTTTATCTCTACAAGTGGGCATAGCTGAAGAAAGTGTTTGGTTATGACTAGACTAAAAGAAAGGATAGACAAATTACATGACCTGATTAGAACCAATACAAAGACTAGACAATCCCTTTCTCTGTTGTTTTGTCAAAAACATTTTCTCAAATTGCAGAATATGGCGGACGGTCTGGCGGACAGGATGAATAAGATCCATAGATCACGACATGGTAAAAAATTAATAAATTTTGGCATTAACATCAACTCGAGGAATTGTTGAAACAATAAATATGTGGTTAAACTTGGTCACAATTGCTATAGCAAAAATAAAGTGGTCAATCTATCCAGTATGCCTATAAATGCTAATGTAACGCTTCTCTTGGTAAGGGTTCTAAACCTTAAAGATACTGGTTGAGTTAATTAACATATCAGAAAAGCTGTCAGAAGAGGCTAAGAATAGTATAGAAAGAGAAGTGATTCCTCATTTTGATGAAGTAGTTATTCCAAA